ATGTGCATGTGTCTGCTCAAACGGTCAGAAACAGACTCCATGAGGGTGGTATGAGGGCCCGACGTCCACAGGTGGGGGGTGTGCTTACAGCCCAACACCGTGCAGCACGTTTGGCATTTGCCAGAGAACACCAAGATTGGCAAATCCGCCACTGGCACCCTGTGCTCTTCACAGATGAAAGCAGGTTCACACTGAGCACATGTGACAGACGTGACAGGGTCTGGAGACGCCGTGGAGAACGTTCCGCTGCCTGCAACATCCTCCAGCATGACCGGTTTGGCAGTGGGTCAGTAATGGTGTGGGGAGGCATTTCTTTAGGGGGCCGCACAGCCCTCCATGTGCTCGCCAGAGGTAGCCTGACTGCCATTAGGTACAGAGATGAGATCATCAGACCCCTTGTGAGACCATATGCTGTTGCGGTTGGCCCTGGGTTCCTCCTAATGCAAGACAATGCTAGACCTCATGTGGCTGGAGTGTGTCAGCAGTTCCTGCAAGATGAAGGCATTGATGCTATGGACTGGCCCGCCTGTTCCCCAGACCTGAATCCAATTGAGCACATCTGGGACACCATGTCTCACTCCATTCACCAACACCACGTTGCACCACAGACTGTCCAGGAGTTGGGGGATGCTTTAGTCCAGGTGTGGGAGGAGATCCTTCAGGAGATCATCCGCCACCTCATCAGGAGCATGCCCAGGCGTTGTAGGGAGGTCATACGGGCACGTGGAGGCCACACACACTACTGAACCTCATTTTGACTTGTTTTGAGGACATTACATCAAAGTTGGATCAGCCTGTAGTGTTGTTTTCCACTTTAATTTTGGGTGTCACTTTTTCATCTCTGTCTGGTCAAATTGCATTGTGGATAATTTAGGCACCTGGTTTTGACAAGCAATAAGAATGCATGGAATTTTATAAAATGATCTCTCTTGTTCTTTCTGCTGCATATATTTTAATATGTTTTTTAACTGTCCATTGTGATTCTGACAGTTATGGGAGTGGATTGCTAAATCAGTGGAGCGCTCTCAGTTTACTGCACATAAATTTAGAGCTTTCAGAGTCTTAATGACATCACGAGACCCTCAAAATTCCTCTGTCTGCAAATGGTTACTGAAAAAAATGGATATATACTTGCTGAAGATCTCAGACTGAGATATTGTCTGATTTAGTGTTTTACAGGGAGTCATGTGCACTGACATAATTATCATTCCTAAGCTACAATAAGTCATTGTAAATTGAAATAGGCTCATTTTACGCATCGCTGGTTTCCTTATTTCTTTCAGGCAATAACTTTGATGAATGGTAATGACTGAATGTGAAACAACAGCAGCTGCAGGGATGGCAATGTGTACTGATAGTGACAAAATGAACATTTATTCCTTATCAACTGAAACAATGTTCAGCTACCAGACCCCACTGGATATTTATATTTTACCAACTCACATTTCAGTTCAGAATAGAAACCCAAAAAACCCCAACAATAATCAGAGGAACAAAAAAGTGCCATAAAATCTAAAATGGAGGCACTGCAGAATAAAGGAAATAAATTATTAACTATATAGATCTAGTAGAGAAACATACCTCCCTTTAACATCCTCTTAGGTGGCAGTGCTGGCACCACTCTGTAGGAAAACCTCTGAACCAAAACCTCGTGGAAGACGTCAAAATCACTATAACGTCGGTAAACTGATATTTTATAATGCTAAAAAGCAAAGAAAAGAGATAATCATAAAATTAACAAGTGCATGCATCATTACTGTAGGTTTTCTATTGTCAATATAGTGTACAAGCATTATTGTAACTGTAGCCCCAGAGTACATAATGTCATGATGAGTATGTTTCTCTCTACATATTGTACACATATAATTACAAATGAGAAGTGAGAACAATGAATAAAAATATCATTTAAGTAAGTGTAAGAACAGTTTGAAGTGTCATGTACCACATTTTGAATTTTTCTTGCAATTGAGGTTATTCTACTATGATCACTGATGGGTAGTTGAATTTATGGGATGCCTTGCCTCACTGGTGACTTGATACTCCACATGCTTGAGGAACAGGCCCTTCTTCTCAGGTATGAGCTCCACCTGGACTGTATCTCTGGCCAGCAGTTCATCCATCGTCTGGGACATCATCAGTACATCCTCCCGAGCTGCCTGCATCTTCAGTACACTTGGGTCCCTCGCCTTGCCCAACTGAGGTTTTGGTAACTCTGTTGAGCACACAGTAGGCACCAACTTCTAATAGTTGTTTTTATGATTAAATCAATACAACTAGAAAGAAATTAATTCCCTATCTGTGAGGAATACTGGTGTTAAAACCACTTATGTCTAGAGAACATATTATTATGTGTCTGATTCTATTTGCCTCAAGCTACCACAGCATTGTGTTCTGCATGTGTTATTTTTCACTTCCTGTACAATTACAAGAAGGTCATGACCTGAATGTAATGTACTACAACAAATGCAGAAAACTTATTTTTATGCAGATGACAAAGTGGCGTATGGCTAGCTGCCATGCCGGCCACATCTGAAATAACAGAAACCCTTAAATAATCACTGAAGGTTAGTCTAGCCAGCAGAATAGCTGCCTGTATGAAAACTATAAAATTCCCTCCTATCATCTTCCCACTCTGGGACTAGAGAAGGAATGTAAAGGCTTATCTACAAACATAAAACAAAATAAAGTTAAATAATATGACGCTGAATTAAACCCAAATGCTAGATTTTAAACTATGAAATAATGTAAATGTTCATCTAATTTTTTAAATCTTAAACCTGTCAAAACTGTCTGTTGCTTTATAAATATTGTACAGTACATAAATTTTAACCCAATATGCCTCAGTAGCACAGTCAATTTTCACAATAAACTTTTAACAGTAGTTAGACCTTGAGCCCACATGAACCAATAATAAACTAACATTTTGCCCTGTACAGATGAAACAACTTGACAGTAGGGGGATAAAATAGCACACTGAAGAATAACTAAGCTACTCATTAGCTCAAAGTAAAACCCTCCCTGCACAGCCATCACTGTATATGCTGTCACCTACCTTGTACGTGGTTCTCCAAGAGTTTTCGGCTGGGTTGCTTGCCGTGCTGAGCAAGAGCAATCAAAGCAAGCACTTTGTAGAGGGACAACTTGCTCAGGAATCCATCCGTGCAGTCAACATGCTCAGCAATCTGAGAAGGACAAAGACGATATGACCTGAAGGTCAGCTTTTTTTTCTCAGCCTGAGATCTAAATTCAACTGTGGTTTGCATTCCTTTGTGCAAAAAGTGCACACTAGACAAAGATATGCTCAAAGGTCAGAAAAAGGAAATTCTGTTAAGCCATGAACTGACTCTGAAATATGCCACCATATTACCACTATATTAAGAGCAATTGTGTGGAGATATTACTGTATATCTCAGTATTAAAAGAAAAAAATGACAGATTGCCAGTTAATTAAAGCAGCCTGCTAGTCTAATCAAAGCTTCTAACAACTTCCTGTGGACACTACAGCTTTATCTTACCCCCTTTTAGCGGGTAGGACTGGATAAGTCTGACTTCTTCCTACTCCGTTCAAGCATGTACTATGTATAAGCAATTTGATTTTTTGTGGACATATCTGGAATTATGTGTGATTACATACTGACTGTTGTTACATGTTTGAAAGAATCAATAAATCAAATCAAATCAAATCAAATCAATCAAATCTTTATCTGTATTGTCTAATATTTCGCACAAAACATAACATCAGAATCAAACAAATATCTAAGCTATGATGTCATATGCTCAAGTATTTAACGTATTAATTTAATCCATTAATTAGAACAACACAGCTTTAGCCTGTTTAATCCACCGGTGAATAATTTCTGCGTTACATTCATTTGTGTAATTTTTGCACTGGAAACCTTATGCTCAGTGCATACCACAATAAGCACAGCCCCCTCTGTTTCTAAACAGAAATGAACAGATTTAGATGAAAAATTTGTGTTTAGGATGCACATTGATTATGTCAAATCAATTTATGTACATTACAAGAGCAAAGATGTTTATGATGGATACTGCCTCTGTATCATTAAACAACTCAGTACTGCTATAGTATTATAGATCTTTATAAACTGTTGCATTCTGCAGCATCATGATAAAAGTGCTGAGCCCTCTCCTGGCCTAAAACAGTCTTGGAAAGATTGGTCCTTTGGAGAAACCGCTAAAAAACTTCAACCTGCTTTCTTTCATCTGTCCTACAGTGGATAGCCTCATACACTTCCCTGTAATAGGCAGGAACGGAGCCTAAAAGAGGAACAACGCCTACATAGCATCGCCAACACCACAGCATATGAAATATTTTATCATCCTATATTAAAATGATCAAAACTCATTTTAATATAGGATCCTAATTTACATCTGTGGTGATCTTAGCTCCTTTTATAGACCTACTCACTTTATATTATCCCAACACAAATTGTGGTTTTTGCTGTGATACTTTAAAAATACATTTTGAATATGTTCAGAGACAATGTAAACAAGATTCAGTATATTAGCAACCTTCTCAGAGCTTTGTAGTGGTGTGTGTGCTACGTGTTCTGCCTAGTAACATACTGCAACTAACATCTGACAGTTTGCACGTGGCAGGAAAAAAAAACTTTCTTAAAGCTTTTGTTTTTAATACTTTGTTGCCTTCATGTAACTTTTTATTTTAAGACTAAGTGTTTTTTTTCCTGGAGAGCTGCACAAGAATTCCTATATGCGTAGACTGTTTATGCATACATGGCAAATAAAAATTTTGACGTTTGACGATATCATTACTCAACAGTAGTCTAATATTCATCGTTACTGTTGCTCAGGAAAACATTAGCAGGTGAATCAAATATTAATCACTGATCGATGCTTTTGATTGTTCATTCAGATCATAGTGTACCCAAAAGTTCAGTGATAGGTCAACACCACGACTTCACCAAACCGCTGACGTCAACACTTTAACACATTTAACGAAGCAGTGTTTGATTATCCTGACACTGTAACGCCAAACAAAACACTCAGTAACGAGGAAATTATATGGCAATACGGCGTTAAGGAGACTAAAAGAGGTATTCGCACTGTACCTTCACTGATCTCTCCTGCCATGGCTCAGGCTGTCATGTGAGCAGAAAAGCGCCTCCATGTGATTTCCTCCATAAAAGAAAAACAAGTAATTTATTTCTTAAAGTTGTAGTCACCGTTGGTTAAAATCCAAACCTTGACATTAACTGTAACATACGCGCACTCGTGGCTAAATCTGAACTTAAAGGTTTGTAAATGAGGAGGAGGAGCTTGTGTTTTTGTGTCAGCAGCGCAGAAAACGCAGTTCTCTTTCCACACATGACCTGGGGAATAATGTATTGTTGATATCTGTCTGTTTCCTGGTTTAGCTTATGAAAGTTCATTTGGGGATTTACTGTTCCTCATTTTACAAATAACGCTGCCTTCAAGTACTCTTAGTTTAGCTTCTTTAATTTATATTGAGCTAAGTTGCTTTAACATTATGTATTATGAAATTGCTTATATTTTTTCTGTGTTGACTTTAATCATCCATACCTCTGGCAACTATTTTAACTGATAACTGATTGACTGGTTAGTGTATAAAATGTTGATATAAAATAATGAAAAATGCCCATTACTTTCTGAGTCAAGTTAATATATTCTAGGGTAAGTGATTTAATTTGACCAACAGTCCACCAAAAAATGTCGATTTTCATTCGTAGTAGCATTGGGGGTGGAGAGACAATTGGCGGGGTCCCCAAGAATGCCTTCTGGGGAAGCACCTGGTGGGATCCCCCATAATGTCCCTATAGTTCGGGGTTGGCGGGATTGTTGTGGCAGTCGTGTGCAGTGTTCAGTGTGCATGTGTGGTTCTGGTCTCCTGACCCTTCTTCCCAGTGATGTTACATTGGTGTTGCCCAGCTGGAAGAAGAGGTAACACTACAAACCACAGTGGATGTCTTGGTGGTCACACTGAGATTTCCTGCCAGCTCATGCGCAGTGAGAGCCCACCAAAACAAGACCACTGATGGAGCCAGTGAGGCCCGCCAGGGAGGACAGAGGAGCCGCACTTGAGTGCCAGCACCTCAGCTTTGACCAGAGCCAGGGGCCGACCAGCGAGGGGTGCTGAAAATGCCATGCTGCAATGAGAAAGAGCTACTAGAAATGTATCTCATTCAAGTGCAGGTAGCAGCCCACTGCAACACCTGGTTGACAGAAGAGATAGCCACTCTGGTTGTCTATCTATGTGCAACCTGTCACAGCTGAGGGTCAGACACACAGCTTGTACCTGGACTGTGAACTGAATGGCACCACATGTCACACCTTAGTGGACATGGGGTCCACCATGTCCCTGGTGTGCTTCTGGGGATGGAAGTACCAAAACCCCAGAAGTGGAGGGCCACCAAGCACCGCATCACCAGTCACTAAAAGTGTGAAGATTTGGGGAGAGAGGACACTCAAAGTGACTGCTGCTGGCCGCACCATTGAACATCGGTCCCCCCAGAATGCCTTAGGGAGGAAGCACCTGGTGGGATCCCCCATAATGCCCCTCTGAGTGGGATGTATATAGTTTGGGGTTGGCGGGGTTGTTGTGGCTTTGTTCAATGTGTGCTGTATGGTTGCTGTGTGTTTCCCAGCTGTCAATAAAAGGAAAAGACAGGCTCTGATCTCCCAACCCTTCTTCGCAGTAGTTATGAATTGTTGTGTGTAGGCTATGTTTTGCACACTTGTTTGCCTCAGTGCCTCTAAGGGAAAGATTTTGAATTAAATTGAACTTATTTAATTTTCTGTTAATCAGTTATTTGACTAGTCATTTCAGTGGTAGAGCTTTAGAACTGGGTGGTTTCTGGGTACCTGGAGAAGTAATGAAGAAGGCATGCACAGTGGGGGGGTCAACAGAGACCCTTGTTTGCCCGCGGCCCCTTAGGAGGTCGACAAGTACTATACTTGGGTATACGTATTTCCGACACTAAATGAACGTCTCATTAGCTCGACACCACGGCTCCTCTGGGTGGCGCTACAGGGTCGGTTTTTTTTTGGCCGCCGAGGTGTACGGTACGAGTTGGGGTGGGGGAGGTTGCTAGTTGGGAGAATGTCGTGAACAGTCGCCTTGTTGGCTCCCATCTCCTTGCACTCTGATAATAACTGGATGGGGGTTTACTCGGAAGGTGTTTGGGTTGTTGCGGTGGGATGAGAGTGCAAGAGCTAAACTGAGGAATTACTAAATTAACGAAAAACCAGGATGCGAGGTTAACAAACCGCAGACCAGAATGCCTAGAGGAACAAAAGAGTTCTTCATGTTATTCGCTTTCGAGACTCTGCGGACGGAACTAACAAGCTTCTAAACCGCTAACGTTAGCTGAGTTGACACTAGCTACACTGCAGGTATAACTAGCTTGAAGGAACGGGATATTTTAAGTTAAATTTGGATGGACCACGGTACTCGGGGTTTCGCCGCTAACATTCCATCTGAATCCTCGTTAGCGACGCAACACTGGATTAAGTTGACTGGTTAAGGTTAAAGCTAACTAGCTCGGCTAAACTCCAGGTCACTGGGCTAACTAATAGCTACTGGTTATTGTTTGTAAGATACTAGCGTTAATGTTGCTTCTGGTGAGGTCATTGGGCTTTTGTTTTAGTAACTGCCGCTATTAGGCAGGTTAATAGGTACAGTTTGCCATTTAGGTGCATAATGACTGATTGGCACGGTCTAAATCACTAAGGTTGCTCAGTTTTACTGGGTAAGTTAGTACTTTAACTCAAGATAGCTTCACGTGCTAGATAAATATTGCTTTTGTTTTTGTCTTTTATCCCGAATGCAGACAAAGTTTATGAAGTTTGTTCCCCTGCGTGTTCACAGTTGCAAGCATCCTTGCTGCTTGTTTGTCTGTGGAGCGGACATCACTGACTCGTCATGGTAGTAGTGGCTAGCTACTCTCCACCATGGTGGGTGAACCTACTACACAGATTCCCCCATTTCAACTTCAAGTTCGAGCAAACTAGCAGCGATTTCCGACCGGAGGACTGGACATATCAACAGGTAAAACCACCTCACTGACGCCTTTGCCTCGTTTCAAGTGACTCTAGATTGTGGGACGTTTGCTTACGGAAATGTTTGACTTTAGGTGTAATTTCCTCCAAGTGTGTAGACTTGCACTTAAGAAAAGAACGCAGTATTTCTCAGTGACAGGTGGCCTGTTTCCACCTGTTCTTTATTTTCACCTTCTGATGCACGTCACCATCTGTGTGTAGCTGGTACATGTCCTGACCTTTTTCAGACACCAGCCAGTTGTGTACAGTGTGATCCTAAGTTGACCTAAATGACTATATTTCTCAAATAGTTTCCTTAAGATCACATCATAACCAGGTGTTTTTTCTTCAAAGTGTTATTGCAAAAGCAAAAAAGTGCTCAGATTAAAGAGGTTAAATTGGTTCAAGTGAACAGAAGGACACTGCACAGCCTGCCAAACAGCTACAACGGGGAGGGGAGACAGAATCACTAAATTTAGGTCAAGTGATGCTTCAGTTTCTTATTTCAGTGGTCATTTGGTGTATTTATAGCACTTATTAATGTGGATGCAATTTGTTTCTGTTAACCCTTCACCTGGTCAGAGGGATATACCTCCCAGTACAGGGCTCTGCATGCATTCTGTTTAAAGAATTGGGAAACTGGGTAACTTTAGATGTAGATTACTGTGCCTTCTTTTTGGTTTGATGGTCAACAAAGATATCTTTTAACATCTGTGACAGCCATTTTGTTAAATGATGGGTAAATTCTGAAACAGCTGTTTTAGTTTACTTAGGCTAATCAGCTGTCTGGTAAGATAGGAAGTTTTTTGTTCGTTTGTTTACTCTGACATAGGCATAATAAAGAGCTAAATATACCAGCATAATTTGTCCAGAAGATAGTAGCAGTTGTTTTAATACATTTATTAATAAGTTGTGTTTATGCTGTTCATTTTTTAAATGCATTATTACCAAATCTCCTGTGGTACCATAGTTTTTAAAAGGTTGTGTGTGTTTAGCGTGCCAGCTGAGTGCAGAGAGAATCACAATAGATATGGGGTTGGCAGCCCTGGGTGGCGATAACTGTGCTTCCCTTTTATTGTGAAGTGTGATTCATAAAACCCAGGAGTGAGTCAAGGTTCCTGAGAAATGAAGACTGACATTGTCCTCATTGGCCTTGATGTATGTCAATGTGCTAAATCTTGTGCAGACATTCATTTAAAATGAAATCAATCCAAGTGAGACATACACACACTTTCTTTTCTTTTGACTAATTTGTGTTGGTGTTACAGTATTTTGCTGTCAGGTTCCTTTAGCTCATCCATGATTTAGTGGGAAGGCTGGGCTCTATAGTTCTGCCAAAATTAACATACTGTATCTGAGGTGTCAGTGGAGTCCATTTTCTGAAAATTATCATTGTGCCACCTCACAGGTGCTATTTTATATCTCTGTGAGGGATAGCTGGCAGCCTTTTCCTGGTACAGGAAGGCTTCAGTACCTAGATAGGTGTGTGTGTGTGTGTGTGTGTGTAGGTGTGTGTGTGTGCGTGCGTGCGTGCGCGCGCGAGAGAGACGCCCAGCACCACCAGTGAGGAGTCGAAATTAACATGACTGTTAAAATGAGGGTGTTTAGAGGGACCTAAATGGGTTGGATTAATTTATAATGCACATTTAATTGAAATGCACAGCTGTTAAAGCACACAGTCTCACTGCTTTCACATATTTATAACAAGAGCAAAACTTTTAAAAAGTTATTGTTAGGTTAATTTACTCAACAATAGTTATTAACCTACTGTGATAGCAGGCTATTAATTGTTGTCGGTACTGTGCTCTTGCTCAGGCATCAGAGCAAGTCTTGACTTGTCCCGATGGCTGAGCTGTCAGTGGTACTCACTGTAGGACTATGCCACCATGATGCATAGATGATATGGAAGCAATGCACCAAAAGTAACATGCAGTAAGATTATAGTGAGTCCCATTTGGCTGAACCGTGCAGAGCGACAGGCCAGAATAAAGTCATTCAGTGGCATTTGCGTCTGAGTCAGTCTGCCTTGTTTCTATCACAGTAAACAGGATGGGGACACAGGAATAGTCTCACCAAATGTTGTGTTGTTCAGATGTTATGCTTAGTTCGCTCCCATGATTCAGTTCACACACTCCCATGGTCAGGTCGACAACCACTGCAACAGGGTGTGTCAGAAACTATGATGCAGTGTAGAGAAAACTGAACAAATTGAACAAAACTGGAGTTTTACTAAACAATAGTGACAGGGGGAAGATCTGCCCCATGAATCCTCAAGAGTATGTAGACACAAAAGCCTCCTGCCTGCCCTACATAAAGGTTGCTGCTGTTGACTGACAGGTTTAACTGTCATTGTGTATCATTTCACTGCTAGCTTTGAAATTCTGCCAGAGCAGAATGGTGATGACACTGGTGATATGTAGTAGATTTTACCAGTCTTTTATACAGAGATTTGCAGGGAGTATGTTCCATTCAGCATTTTGTAATTCTAGTCTCCACAATTAGTTCTGTATTTATTGTGGTTAAATGAACAGGATGTTCTGTACTTCAGAAAATTGAAAACACTTTTTCTTTTCTTTAAAAATCACATGGAAAGATGAAACACAATATGACAGATGTGTTGTCTTCTGATATTGCATGCTGCAGGGTAATGTGTGCACAAAACCTGTGGTACCTGTACAGCAGTGCATTGCTGCCACAGTGAGAAAAATGCTTGCTCACTCTCAGTTTAGACAGTATCTCATTATTTTGTTACTTTACTTGTTATTAAGAAATGCTTTTCTCATTTTTATGAGGTACTTTCACTTGTGCCCCTAAAAGAAAATGTTTGGGGCGCAGTTATTTTAAATGAAAAAACAATGCATCGCATTCATTGTCCTTTAACGTTAAAATAGAATTTGTATAAGGGGCACAGGGGCAGATTAACTTAAAAAAAGAGATGACTAGGAATTTGGGTGGGAGTCTGCAGGCAAGGCTGAAATGATTGCTGCTCTGCAAGTTTATGCTCATTTAGCAGCTGTTTTGATAAATTACTCTGCCTAGATTTTTAATCGCAGAGGTTTTGTTGCACGTACAGTAGAGCAGAGTTGTTGTCACTTCAAGTAATAGTTCATCTGTTCCCCTCTCTCCCCATGCTGCATCTCAACTACTTTCTGCTCCGTGTGTCCGGGAGCTCAGTACCACTCTTGGTCCAACACAGACAGAGAGGAGCAGCTGCTCCATAAAGACCAAAACCATATTTTCCGATCCACTAATCTCACTCACTGGTCTCTTCGTGGAACTAATAATAACTTCCGGTTCTTACAAACTGAGAACCAGAGAATCAGTCCAAGTCTGTTGCAACTGTGTGCCCAAATAATTTTTCACGTTCACGCACACTAAATTTTTTTTATACTTGCATATGTGAGTGAAATGTTTGCACCATAGAGCCCTGTCATTTTGTTGTGTAGAGTCTTTAGCTGAGCTAAAGATGCTACAGCCTGGCTGTGAGCCAGCTGCTGTAAAGAGGGTTGCGCTGGATTTATAACACAAGACAAAACAAGCATAATTGCAAAACAGAACATGGCACAATAATCGTTTTATCTCAGTTATCTTGTTTTCATAATTGTTGAGATTAAAAATCAGTTGAAAAGAAAATTGGATTAATCACCCACCCCTATATCTTAGGAGGCTGGTGCTCTTCTTCAAGCAAACTTTGTGGTAATTCCTCTGTGGGACACCATTTATTCCCACAGTAATGAATGCAGAAGTGTCCTCAACAATGTCATTTCCATTACTCCCTTCTTCTATCCACCAGTCCATTCTGTTACTGGGAGGTGTGGCGCTTGCTTGCCTGGCCCTGGACCTCTTGTTCCTGCTCTTCTATTCTATTTGGCTGTGCTGCCGGCAGAGCAAAAATGAGGAGCAGCCCAACGCTGACTGCTGCTGCACAGCCTGGTGTGTCATCATCGCAACACTTGTCTGCAGGTGAGTATAAATGTGTTTTTGGATCCCCAAGCACAAGTAGATGTCCTTCTCATTTAACACAAGGCTGTGATTCCTTTTATCTTGAAAAATGATTTCAGAATATTGTCAGGCATTTTGGCACAGCCTGTAGAGAGTACCAGTGTTCATATATTTGGCTTTGGCCACCTGCATGCATCTACAGTAGGAGCAACAATCTTCCTTTAAGTTGTCTGCCATGTTTTGGACATCAATTATGGGGTCAGCACTAAATACTAAAAGCTACATAGAACGGTAAGAACCAGACTGAAACAGCCAGTGTGTCTGTTTGCTTGACAAACCTTACCAACCAACAACAGGTTGGAAATTTTGTTCAGTCTGCTCAGTATTTTCGCATGAAAATATGCTTGCAGTGCTGCTGCAAGTTGGCACACCTCACCTTTCAAAATGATTCCATTTAATGATCCAGTTAAATCACATTTCAATAAAACATCACCTAGGCAGAAACCTAGATGACTTAATTATTACCATAAACTGAGCAGAACTTACATCCTGACATCTAAGGCATCCTGACTTGTTGAAGATGAACAAGTTTGTTCCCAACCGGAAGGTTGAAGGTTCAAATCTCGGTGCCTGCACTCCACATGTCGAAGTGTCCTTGGGCAAGACACTCCCCCAAGTTGCCCGTGATGGCGGCGCGTATGCACGCAGCGATCCGTGGCCCTTGGCTCCAAACAAAATTTCGTTGTACATGTTACAATGACGATAAAATACAGCTTCTTCTTCTTCTTCTTCTAATGAAAGCTGTTGTGTACTCATGTATTTGGGTTGTAGCAGTCACAAAAAAACACTCCTGCTGGGGCTGTACAGAGGTGGTGGGGGAATTTATATTTGCATGTCTACATACCTAAAGCACTTGTTTTGCTGTTTTTATTTTTGAAATTGATGATGTAAGACCTGGATGTGCATCTTTGTGTACTTGAATGCTCCATTTGTCTCCTGTTGTCCTCTTCCTTTTGATGGGCCACTGGAGAGTAGGGGTGGGGTTCAGTAGCCTTTTATCAAATCAGAATCCTTTTGAAACCTTCACTGAACCTTTTTAAGTAGTTTGTTAGGGTATGATGACCATATACACTGTATATTATACTGGGTGTAGGGCTTTCACTATGTATTTAGTCACTGCTCTGGGACATTCATTAACCCTACCTGACTTTTTTTTAGCTGTTTTTAAAATGTTGTTTTCCCGGATATTGAAAGAACGTTGCAGAGTTTCCACAGGTTCACAACACAGCTGGACATTTGGTTGTGTTTTTGCTGTGACACTGCTTCCGTTCACCTTTTTCACACAGCAGAGTGTGAGAGGAAGAGATTAGTGGCAGGAAGAGGTAAAGCCCAGTGATTCACTGAGTGCTGGGTCTGAGACTTGGACAGACTTAGCTTGGACTGATTCACTTCTCATCATTCCACTTGATAAAAGCCACTCATATGATGGGCTTAGCAAAAAGACCAACAGCTGCAACACAGTAAGAGACGTCAGCTCTCAGCCTTTTCACTTCAAATTGCTTCTCAGAGTACAGAAATGCTCTATTCACAAAGCAATATTACTGCAAAGAGCTTCTGCTTTAATTTTTATCAAGATAGAAGACTTCCAGTTTCACACAAATAACTTGTCAGAATATGTTACAATACCATGAAAATATTTTTCTCTTGGTGTACCTCACAGTTTCCAGAACAATTTTTCTGCAACCTGAGGCCTGTCTGTGTGCATGAGACCTGACCTCCTGCCTCAGTACAGCCTTTGTCAAGCATAGTGTGGGGTTTGGGACATAGCTGGTCCATTCCTCTGTGTTTCCATGGTTCTGTATGGAGGCTTTTTGTGAAAGCTGAAAGGAGCCCGTTGACTGGGGTCTGAGCCGACAGGGTTAATGTAGAGTTCACACGACTCTCTCACTGCCTCGCTATCCCCCTCGCTTGCTCTCTTCTCTGTCTCCCGTCTGTGTCTTTTTTAGCTAATCCCTCCTCCTCACCACCCTGTCTCCCCTCCCTTCCTTTTGTCTCCCTACAGCGCTGGCATTGCTGTCGGTTTCTATGGGAACGGTGAGACTTGCGATGGAGTGAATCGGCTGACGTATTCCCTGCGCCATGCTAACCGTACAGTCACTGGGGTACAGAAACTGGTAAGACTGAGTGTGTAGATTATACCAGCGTGTTTAATAATTCAGCACTTTTCTGGCTTCTCCTAGCACCAGAACAGTCTAGTGAGTCCTCTCTTTCTTCTCTGAGCCCCTTCACTTGTCCCTTGTTGACTCTAGGTATATAACAGTACATCCTCCTTGAACCAGACTGTAGACGAGAATCTGCAACAGCTTGAGGGTCAGTATGCACAGCATGCAGACTACCAGTCCATCATCCATAAGCTGCAGGGCCAGCTGGATGAGCTGGTTAGACAGATGAAGGAGATTCCCTTCTGGGGCAACTCCAACATCTCCCTGGAGGAGCTGTCCATCAAGATTGAGCTGTATGACTGGTACAGGTGAGACTGTAATAATGAATCAAAGCATCAGTCAAACAAAAATAAAGCTCCTGTGTGTTGCAGCAGAGGTAAGAGTGTCAGCTCTCAGCCTTTTACCACAGCAACAGCAGTGTTGATAAGCATTTGAGCATCGCAGACAACAGGCCATGATTTATGTGCTGCTCTTAACAGAAGTTAAGGTTGATCTGTTGGATAGTCTTCTAAATTTAAATCTGCCATCTTTCTAATTTAGCATTTCATTAGGCAGCTGACCTGCCAAGAATCTCTTGTGTTTGCAGTGGTGTGGCAGTCCCTCTGGGCGTTGCTTACATGTATGCCTAAAATGATAAATATGAAAGTGGTTTATCAAATGGCTCACTGCTTTTTGTGGAGTGTCACAGACTGATAATAATTCAAAGCAGATTTAAAACAGAAATGATAGGATACATTCAGAATGCAAGTTGAGGGGTTGCAGGGTCATTTATGTCATCCAACTTAATCGTAATGTATTGTCTCAACATATCAAACTATTCTTGGCTTTAATGTCTTTTGTTTGTACTGAATAATTTCTTTGGGTATTTATGTATCTGTCTAGTTAAAGGTTTATATGATCAGGGTCTTGCTTTTATGAGCAAAGAGTTCAGTTCATTGTGATTGCTTATAAGATGCAAGCTGTGTTTTTTCCACTGAGAGATGGTTTGCTCTGCTGCTCTTGGCCATTTGTTGTTAATGACATTTGTCTGCACAGGTGGCTGGGCTACATAGGCCTGCTACTGTTTGACGTCCTCATCTGCCTTCTGGTACTGTTTGGCCTCATTCGCAACTCAAAGGGAACACTAATAGGGTGAGTCTCATCACAAGATCATGGCCACAAGAGCACTTAAGGGAAAATGATTCTGCCCTGGGAAATCATTTCAGCTATTGTCGCACAATGAATGGCAGTTACTGTCCATGAAGCCCCCAGCCCATCAGGGCCACCTTGTCAGTACAGTTTAGTCTGAATGAATTCATGCTCTATAAAATATCAGCCCAATTCATTTAGAATTAGCATCACAGCATGCCAGCTTCAGTACTTCATGGTTACTAAACTCTGTGTGGCATGCTTACTGTAAGCCCACAAGTACATGCTTAAGTCCATTAATCTGGAGATTGCTTTTTCAGTTGATGGATTAGTCTTTCTAGTGCATAAAATATCAGAAGCTAGTTACATCTGCATCACAGTTTTGCAAAACCCAAGGTGAATTCTTAAGATGTTTAGTTTCAAACAATCAGTTTCCAGTTGCAGAAGACGAAGGACACCAGAAAATGTTCACATTCAAGTCAAAGTGTTTATTTGCCATATGCACAGTTAGAAAACGTGTTTCTCTGTACAATGAAATTCTTACTTTGCTGTCCACATGAATGCCACAAAATGCAAATGAAATATAAAGTAAATAAATAATACAAAATCTAAGGCACTTTAAGCAGCAGTGCAGCAATATAATAAAATATATAAGAATATAATAACAGAATGTATGCTGCATGGGAGCAGCATGTGCAGCAGTCAACAGTCAATGTGCAATTATGCATGTGCAAACTGAGAATGTAACAGTACAGGTCGTCAGTATATGACGTATTTCCTGGTA